ATTTTCCCACCTTTCTGACTCAACGGAAGTGCTGGAGGCTAGCCATTCACGAACATTGATCTGGAGGGGGCCTCGGGGGAAACGGAGGCAGGGAGAGACAGAGGAAATGACAGATAGATGCAGACCCACCCTGAGAGAAACAGCAGGGGAAAGATAAAGAAATGAAGAAGTGACAGTAGAGCCTGTGTGTACATGTTTGTTTAAGATGAACAAAAAAATGAAAAATTCTGTTGTCATTTACTCATACTCATGTCATTCCAAACCAAATTTGACTTTCTTCTGTGGGAGACAAAATATTTATTTATATTTTTAGGCTAATTGTCCATGTAATGCAAGTGAACGGGAGTCCCCACTACAGTAAGTGTCATTGTATGGACCAAAACATACAAGTAGGTAAAAGATTTGCATCCAAATACAAAATTGCACTTTTTCAAAGCTACCTTGCTTCTTCCTGCCTAGGCATCCTAAATGAAATGCACAATCCAGGTTCACTGGAAATACGTGTCTGCGGAGACTGCGTTGCTTCTTGCATGTTTTGCAACAATTTCAAGGTGTTTCCAGTTTTATCCTAAACAGATGAACGTCAATCTGGGATTTTATTATTATGCTGGTTGTTGTATGTATCATGGCAGTTTGGAAATTAAATGTCCAGTGAGTGGCGCTAAAAAGTTAATGCTCCATCATGTTTGAAAATTATGTACCACCTGCACTAAATCCTACCCTAAACCTAACAGATGCTATTAACAAAAGTAAATGTGAAATAGCACATTTGCTGATGCAGCCATGCCTTTGTATCTTGCTTTTACAAATCTTTATGCTTTTTTTTAAATCATGGCTCATGTTTCACAGGACTCGTACCTGAGCTCTCCACATTGTAAGTGTTATACCAAGTGAGCTACAGAGCAAGTTTACTATGCCAGAAAAATCATATATATGGGGCTGGTTATGTGATGTAATAAAAGTGTTATTTTACAATTCATGCACTATGGTAAAAGTGTTTTGAGGTCATAACATAATTTTCAGTTTTCATTAATTGACAATCTGCTACCTTCAATATAATTTGTGTACTGCCACTAGTGTTCATTTCAGCTGTTTTTGGAGCAAAAAAGTAGGTAGAAGCACAGTTTTCAATGAGTCTATTTTGGAAATGGAACTTCATAAATAAATTTGGACTGATCTTTTTTGACAGGAACTTCATGCGACGTTCCAATAACACTCTAATTATTGAATTGTGCAGAACACATGATTCACAATTGATTTAATTGGAGTCTGGTGTTAGCATATTGCTAAGCTAAAGATGTGTTACTTTGAGCTATTAATGGTTTTTATTTTATTTTTTTCCATTGAATACAAAATATGGGATTGCCTTCATATTAGTAGTGCTGCTATGATGGCTTACATTTTAGAGTATTTCTGGAAAATTTTGTTCGGATATGTTTTTTTTTTTTTTTTACTTTGTAAATACAATTTTTCATTTAAAGGCCTGTGTAAACACACTACCTCTTAGCTGAGTAAATCACATACAACAAGATCATATAACCATAATATAACTGGCTCATAACGCCATGAACGGGGGTCTTGCATAAAGCCTGGACCCCCTAGGGCTGCGGGGGTGTCCTGTATATCTAACTTGAAAATATTTTTTTCAATACTTCTAAGTTAGATGTTATTTTAAGTCTGTTCAAGACCGCCTGAGGTCAAATGTAATTCTGCAGAGTGTGGTAAAATAGAACAATATTTAGCTGCACACTGACTCTGTAGAGTTATGCCTGTATTTTAGGACTAATCTTTTCTCTCTGCAGGCAGGCTGCAGTTTGTATCATTTTAATATACAATACAATCTGAGAACAACATCCAGTGTTGACTGGAATAATTAAAATAATCAACTTATTTGTTTTCTCTAAAATAATCCCGTTATGCTGTTTTCTGAATGACTGCTGTTTGCTTTATGTGAGATTAAAGTGTTTGGCTACTAGTTTTAAGTATTTGATTAGAAAAGGACAAATTGTTCACTTATTCTGTTCTGTGGGGATACTCTGAATACTTTAACACAGCAGATGGTTAGATTGAAATGAAATATTTTTTGCTGTGTTATTTTAATATTAGTTTTTTTGACTCAAGTTACCTGCAGCCACAAGACTTTTGCTTGTGTAACATTGCTTAAATGAAGTTTTAATGAGAATGTTTGTCATATCTTCTACCTTTTCTCTTTTGTTTCATCCAGACATGGTCTTTAAACAATGCTAATCTTTAAACAGGTATAATGTATAAGTCAAATGTGTTAATGGAATGTTCAAAACATTCATTAGATCCCCAGAAACATTCGTTAAACATTTCTCTGTAATACTCTACACAAGCAAAATGGAAAACCCAGTCAAGTACAAGTAAACCAATTTTACATTTGGCATATTAATTGAGATGCATGGCCGCTGCACACATCATCTGCTCATGGAACCATGGTCCCTGTCTCTGTCTGCAATACGTCCACCCCACTATTTGTTTATTACATGCTTCACTAGATACATTTAATTGATTGATTTAATTTACATCCCAAGGTGTTTTTTTTTAAACAATCAAAAGACAACTAGAAAAATCAAACCATGCAAAACTAGATACTCAATGAGGATGACTCATGCAACATTTAACCTTTAAATTCTGTTTTTATTACATGCAATATTAATTTAAGTAGCACTAACCATTTTGCCCTCTTCTATGCCTAAAGCGCTTTCGAAAGTTACCTGTTTGTCCTTCCACAGAGAAATCTGCGGTGATTATCACTTGCATCAAAAATGATCAACGTGATCTTATTTGTATTCACAGGCATTCATACCAAAAGTGTGATGCTAATTCTAGCATGCATACATTTTCATATATTTGGATAGATGATGAAATGTACAATAGCATCATATTTACGTCAAAAAATATTTGAGGTTCAGAGAATATGTAATATTAATGAAATGTTAATGCCACATTTATTGATGCACACACTCACAAACCAGTAAAAGAATGAGACATGCATATATTAATGTTACACTGTAACTGATTGTTTTTCAATTAGATTTCATACTCAGTGAGGTTAAGATTTGATTATATAAATTCATCCAGTGCAATGGATTTCACTGCTTTTAATATTCATATCTGAATTTTTTTATAAATACATTTTTCATTAAAAAGTCTTTAATTGAATAAACTTTCTGTCATTTACAGTATACATGAATGAGAATGCCGCTTTGAAATACTGTCTCTAGTATTTATGATTATTTTTTATGTCTCTAAAACTGTACATATGTCTTCATATTCCAATAACTGATATTATACACGTGTATGCTTTACATGTGAATACAAATGAGCCCAGACTGAAATGACAGAACAGGGCATAATCTTCATGACCTGTCTGGACGCAGCAAGGAAAAAATATAACAGGAAGTAATATGTTTTCCATCTTAATATGTGATATATGCTCTGGCTGCTTAAACAGGAAGTCAGAGAGCACAAGAAACAAAAACCGCCATTTAAAATCCATCTTTTATTCACCGTTCAACCAAGCGGCAGTTTGCAGACATTTCCTCCACAATAAAACAATAGGGGTTCAACACATCATTCAGGGATGTGCAGAGACCGTCTCAAATCTGTGCCAAAGTTTTCCAATTATACCAAAGATATGGAAATCTACTTTTGTACTCTTATTTCCTCCTATTTAGCATGATGAAATGTTGATAAGAGAGAATCTCAACAGCTCCAAGCCACTTTCATTAATCAAAAACCTGGTTTGTGACAAACTCGGTTTGTTTATGCTTTGTGTTTGTTCTTATGGTCTGAGATCGAATGGACAAAAACTATAGGCAGACATGGAAGCAAACATGGACCAACAAACTCTGACCTGGGGAGAAAAGAAAAACCTACCCCGAGGAGACAAACACAGGGATGATAGAAATAGAAAGGACATGCCGTTTACTTCTCTCCTAATAACAAGCTTTTGGAAGCCCATGACACATCTGCACATCTTATACATACTGTATGTAAATCTCATCTTCTCTCACGATCCCTGATGGCTTTATTAAACTAATGTACACAGAACTAGAATTAGAACAGATCAGAAAGTGCAGAATGAGCACTCAAAAACATCTAACATAAGAGACTCTATTGTTGCTGTAACATAAACGCTTCATGGTTGTTAAAGTAGGGTGTGTGTTTGTGTGTGTGTGTGTTTGCTATTTTCTGAAGGTTTCTGCAAAGTAGACAGTATTGTTCAGAGTTTTGGGGCTGGTGAGGAATTGTTCAGTTCAGAAAGAAACATTTTATTGTACAAGGATACATTAAAGACATTCTCAGTGTTATAAAATTTTAATCTGTTCTTTTGAACTCTATTCATCAAGGAATCTTGAAAAAAACATAGCATCAGTTTCCACAACAATATTAAGCAGAACAACTGTTTTCAACACTGATAATAATAAGAACTGTTTCTTGAGCAGCAAATCAGCATATTAGAATGATTTCTGAAGAATCATGTGACACTGAAGACTGGAGTAATGATGCTGAAAATTCAACTTTGACATCACAGGAATAAATTACATTTTAAAATGTTATTTTAAATGTAAATTTAAATGAGTTTAAATTGTTAGAACATTTCAGAATATTACAGTTATACTGTATTTAAAACAAATGCATGCAGCCTTGGTGAACCTAGGAGACTTGTTTCAAAGACATTTAAAAAAAATCTCACAAACCTCAGCCTTTAGAATGGCTGAGTGTTGTTCTCTTTGAAGTTTTCTTCACATTATGACTGAACCAAGCTGAAAAGTAAGGTCTTGAGATCAGTTTGCTTTATTCCAGTAATAAAAAGAGCTCGCTCCATTGGTTCAGCGTTTTAGCCGGGTTTGGTTTTGATACTTCAACAATGAAAAGGACTGGGAATACCATGGAAGAACATTTGGAGTTATTGTGTTTCAAACTATGAACTGAAGTTCCTTAAGAGAAACAAAAACACAATAAGAATCAAAATGAATGCCGATAAGTATAGCTCAGGAAATTTGGTCTTGGAAGATTCTGATGAGGTATTGTTGAGATCAGTGGAGTCTCTTGCGAAAAAGCTGGAGCCCAAGCCACTGTTTGCCTTTCGCTTTATGTTCTTCTCAGTGGGTTTAGAGCTAGGGTTCCTCAGCTGTGTTCTTTGTCAATGGAAAGGACTTTGCTGTAACTGACAGCATCAGACACGTGGCATAAATGTGAGGCTACTACGCTGGTGTGCTTGTTCTTTGCTAAAAGGGAAAATAATGAAATAATGTATCAAATCAAATAGCTTTTGAAAAGGGATAGGAAGACGAGTGTAGAATAAGAAACTGTACAAAACCGTTTAGTTGAAAGCCTTGCTCAAAGCTTGTCGCTGTTCTGTGGAATATTTGGCATCTATGTGGCCTAAAGGCATTAGAAATTCATGAGATGCATTGACTGTGTTCAGGATATTGACAGACAAAATAAATGTGCAACACATGATACCGATCAGGGAATTTGTGCATGTTTGTTTAGCGTCTGCTATCTTCAAAGTGCATAGAGTATCAAGGAGAAACTTGATTAGGCTTAAGTTCTGGCTAATAAGCTTTAATGGTTGTAATAAATTGCTGTAATATAGGCTGCTTTCTTTTCCACTTCTTTTCAAAACTTTAGAAATAGATTACTGCAAAGAACCGGAGAGTTCCAGTGAAGATGCTGTATTTTGTCACTGCTAGTGTGGTACAAATTAGCATTTTCACACCTGTGTTTTATGTGTGTGTAAATTGACTTCTTTTGTTTTTGTTCCTAGTTTCTGTTACACTTTAATTACGTTAATTAATTTATTTAATAAATTGTTTTAGTTTTATCTATTCAGGCATCTATCCAACTTCTCGTCTTGGCCAAAATTAACTTTTGCCACACTTGACAATGACAACAATATTGAGAACATTTAAATGTTTCTTACAAACACAATTTCTGTCATTTAATTATGGAATATTCTGGAGTAACAATTATTAAACAAACTATTAGACAAAATAAAAATAAACTACCTACTTTTGTCTTCCTACCTCAACATTATTAAGCTGATGATTAATTTTTCAGTTTTTTGTTTGTTTGTTTTTGTTTTGTTAGTAATAACTATATTAAACAAAAAAGTAAACTTTGTTTTCCTCAACATTGCTAAATTGATGCTTATTTTTCCCCTTTTGTTTTGTTTTGTTTGTAGCAACTATTAAACAAAAGAGTGGTAAACTTTGTCTTCCTACCTCAGCATTGCTAAGATGATGCTTTTTGTTTTGTTTTGTTTTGTTAACAGAACTGAAGGTTTTTCCATGAATGCTGGCTGTTTTTTTCCCTCGATCTAAAACATCATCGTTTTATATTCCATTATGTTGTAATTTCTTTAACTTGAAAAATGGTGTGTTTTGAAGTCTTTCCACGGTTGACATAAAATACCTTCTAATATTCATTCATGCATATTTCGTGCTTTAAGTAAATATGAAAAGATGATCCGCTCATGTGCCGCTTGAACTGAGGTTCTACAGCAATCTGTCATGACACATTAAAGAGCCACAAAATCATATTTATTGTTTGAATTCTCAAAAAATAACAAAATTTGAAAGCTAAGACTTTGTTTCATACCAGAAATAACCTGCTCTGTCTCACATCGTGAGAACATGATGTGTGGCATGACAGTGGCATAACTTGTCGGACATAGCAACAGTAACTAAGGGGGGGGGGGTCTTTGTGAAGGGTCAATTATATTACATATAAATTAAATAATTATATTGTTTCTATATAATTGCATAAGAATATACACACTGTGCAAATTATTTTTAAAAATCGAAGATTCTTAGAGAATGTTTTACCAGGAGACACTATTTCAATATTTCTACTCTAAAATGTCATATAATTATTTATGAAATTTACTAGCAATTTCTGAGTTTTTAGTCTTTACAAGGATACTGATACAATATAATTTGTTTTAATGTTTTAAATTTCATTTTTATACAATTTATGTATATTATTTCTTTCTGCGCTAATACAATTCTAATCTAGTTAAATCTATTTAAAAATTTTGATTTTGGTGTGAAGTGTACATTTAACTACAGAACTATTATTATATGATATTAATAAAAATACGACATTGTATGTTCATTTGTCGTGCTTCTGTTTAAAGAAGTCACCACTGATAAGCTACCACTAAATATTGTAGAAACTTAATTTACTGTAAAGTTGCTTTGCAACGATTTGTATCGTGAAAAGCGCTATACAAATAAACTTGAATTGAATTGAATTGAATTTAGTTGTGTGTTCAACTAAAACAATGTTTTGGGGGGCTTAAACAATGGATTTCAAAGTGCAAGTTTTTGAAAACGATACTGTTATTGTCTCCGTGTAAACAACATACACAAGTACACATCGCCATCTTCTGGCATAGCATGCATAATACAGCATTCGTGTGAATGGGGACAATTTCGACATTTTCGTCTGTACGTTAAAAGGTTAGTTCACCGCTGAACTCATATGTCGTCCGCCCGGAGCTGCTTCCGTGTACAACTTTTGGCGCAAGCTACATTAAAGCGATTATTACGTTTTGAATATGGATATTTTTCTTACAAAAATGCATCGATTCGCTACAGAAGGCCTTTGTTCACACCCCGGAGCCATGTGATACACTTTTTTTTTAATGGATGGGTGCTTTTTATTTAACTTCTTTTGGACTGATGCATGCAACTAGTGTTGTTTTTGGCGGCCTGTTTTAATTTTAGTTTTAGTCTAGTCTTTGTGTGAAACTGTCATTTTAGTTTTTATTAGTTTTAGTCACGTTCATACTCTTTTTAGTCTAGTCAAGTTTTAGTCAACTAAAAGTCTGAGCATTTTAGTCTAGTTTTAGTCGACGAAAACTGATGACATTTAGTCTAGTTTTAGTCAATGAAAATTGTATTTTAGTCTCTTTTTAGAAATGCAATTCTATTTAACCCAGTCAATATAGTATAAGTACCTAGTAGTATAGACGAAACCAAAATTTTCTTTTAGCCAAACCCATTTCAAACAAGGTTATCTTATTATATTATTGTAACCTTATAGACTCAAGAATACATCCATTCCAGACACAGAAGACGCTCTGATTTGAATTTACAACATCTATTTTACCAACCAAACATGTTAGAAGTACACACACATAAATTTAAATAAAGACGAACCCCGGCTGGCCGGCCATCGGTCCCTTTCTCTGTGTCAGACTTAACTTTGTTTGGTTTTCATCTTCTAAATCAGTGTTTCCCAACCATTCTTTAGTCGCGGCACCCTTTGGAAATTTTAACAAATTTGTGGCACCCTACAAAATTAATTTTGTCACAATATTTGAATTTCTAACTTCGATATGATAATTTGAAAAGTATAGATATTCGGTACAACAGGGAAGAACTGCAGAATATAATGTCATACAGATATTTTTAATATTATAAAAAGAAATGTGTCTATCAATGGTGGCAATCAGTAGGCTAATTTCTAATGAAGAGACCAATTTATATGACAGATTTTAATGTAGGCTTTTATTCATATGTAAACATTGTGAGATAGCTAGTTATAATGGTAATTAAACAAAGTTTTGATTTTACAGCTGGGTAATTTTGTTGCAGTAGCACGAGATAGCTTGATTTAAAACTTTGAATTGAATAAAAAAAAATGACAAGGAGGCTAAGCAGTTAATAATAAAATAAGAACAAATAAAGAAATTACTAATGATAGCACAAATAAAAAAAAATCACGATAGGCCTACAAATGAAATAAATTGCTTTTTAGTTTTTCAGGTAGGTCTAACACACAGTAGGGCTATTAAGAGAATTTTTTTTTTACCAATTATCCAAATAATGTTTAATCCTAGAAAGCTATTATCATCAGAGGACACATGAGCATAACGGTTAGCAGATCAATGAATGAGAGGGCAGCGTTACCAGAGTTGCCCATTTACCACACCTTGTTACAGCACAGTAGGGCTATTGCAAACAGAAACAATACTGTACTACA